TATCGACGAAAACTCTGGCCATTTGTTCGCGGCGGTAAACGGTTCGAGGCTGGAAATCCGAAAGCGAACACCGGTAGAACGAACGCGTTTGAATTTTACGTTTCCGATCAACTTACACGGCCGATATCGCCACACCTATAAGTTTTCTTTATTCGATTTAGCAACATCGTTACCTCTCGGGAGAGTCCAATGTCGTCGATGGTACCTACACAGAGAAAATAATGCGGCGGCCAGTGACGCTAATGGTATTGTCTTCGACGTGTCCTCGTGTGAGATGCACCACTCCCAGCTCGAATGTCGAGTGAATGCGAACCTGAACGCTATGTAAGTAGGAAAACACATTAACGCACGTGTTGTCGATCGCCGGCGTCTAAGTTTGGCTGAAAATACGATCGTCATCCCTTTATTTTTATAGTTATATTATAATATCGTCGATACGACCGCGGCATCTAATTATTCCGGTTGTGTGATGTCTGCGAAGCCACCATTATTCGCGCGCGCCAATTTCGTTCCGGAGCGTTATACTGTGTTTGTGGCGCGAATAATATATAGCAATACGTAACTGAACGAAGTATTACCGTAGCGAACACGTGACCGGCGTCGGTTCGGCCGTCGTCGTGCTAGAACCGTCCACTTCGGAGGAACCGCATCGCGATGACGCGCACAAACCTACCGACAACAAACTTCCCGGCAAGCCCGCGCAGCCCGTCAAGAAGACCCCACAACAGTCAGGTAAAAAACTATTGCACACTGCACAACGGTTTTTAAGGTTAACGCGACGAGTGAGCAACAGGGGAACCGGAGCCCTCGCTTCGCCTTCCCGCCCTCGGGTCAGGGTTCTGAACACGAGCCGAAATACCGGAAAATCAAACAAGATTTGATGTCCGCGCGGGTCCGAAATCAATTTTTTCGATTACTTTTCTCTTTTTTTTTTTTTTTTTACTTTGGTATAATCTGTGTATAGGTGCATGTGATTCTCACACGTTCAAATAGGTAGATGCCTATAAAAATTGGTGGTTTGAGTTTTGGCGCGGGTGTTTATTCAATTTTTTATTTTTGATTTATAACTGAACTGATGTCTGATGATTATTATCATTATTAAAAATATGCAGAATGTATTAACCATGTTTTGCATATTTTTCATGAACAGATAGATGTTTTAAATTTTAATTGTAACCAACTAAAAAGGCAAACAAATTTTACGCGCCTGCAATATCTTCTATACGCTCAGTTACTGTACACATAAGACTCCAATTTTCTATACTAATTATATTTTATATTCCTAAAAAAATATAATTTTAATTGGACCATATGGTATAGTAACTGTAGAATAATTAGTATTCTAAACAATTTTTGTTTTCGATAAAAAAAAAAATGTAAATATTGCGATTTTTTTTATAATTTTAACTTTAGGGCTAGCAATATGAAAATAGATGTTATTATATTATTGTAGGTTGCATTATACACTAAAAACACGTTATTTCGGTATATTTTTGTGTGTTAATTATATTATAATTAATATCATATTAGACAAATTGTTTAATAATTAGTAAAATTATACTTTTACTGAATTACATATTTACATCCGGTATAAATGTATAATTATCATTAATATAATATGGCTATTTATATATTATAAGATATATACTTACTATAATATATATATATATATTTAAAACAATTAAGACAATATAACATTTATAAATATTTTGTCACCGTGACAACGTAAAATATATACATTTAACATAGATATCTATTATTATTCACATCTCATTTGGTGAAATCGTTGTTTTCACATTGTCGTGAATATTAAATGTTCTTCACATGTGTAATATGTCGAAGGAAAGAAATATTTTCAAATTTTGAAGTTGATATTATATTCCTAACCTATACACTAACACTTTTATAAACTTTGCAAAGTAGCAATAATTTGTATAATATTCAAAATATCAACTTTTCGATAAGTGGACCTAAAATGGTGTATTGGTAGGCTAGATTAACTCTCCACGACTCTTACTCAATTTTTTTCTTGAAATCATCTGTTTAAAAAAATGAATATATTTTAGTAAAGAGGCGAAAGATTTTTTCGATTTGAAAGGGAGCCGGAGTTAAAAAATGAATACATTATTAATATTTATGAAATTCTCAATAATATATTAAAGGTAATCATTGACACATCACATGTTTAAAAATCAAAATATCATAATAATAATTATTAAGCAATCATGTCATGAATACGTATAGTGACTGTAAAAACTTTATATTATATATAAATATGTGTGTGTGACGTGTGTACACCATTTATTTAATTTATCAATGGACAGATATATAGTTTTGTTATTTGGTACAATCTAACGTAAAACACGTTGATATATAATTATTAATTATATTATATACATCGTTGGCTATAATCAGAAATTAATGTTTTTGTAGAAGGATTTCCGTATTATTCACGTCCAGGAATCGTACTGGACGATCCGGAATTCAAACCACACATCGGAGGGCAGAGACGTCCCATCCAAGTGCAGGTACCCAGTAAAGGTGACGTGTTCGATATAATGGTATCCGCCATACAAGGACCAGGTGACAAGCCAGCACTACTCAATCGTAAGTGTATATTATTATATTGAAACTTATGAAAATACATCCAACTAGTCACCAGAAAATCTTATATTGCCAAAGCTGTGCATTTTATGCATTTCCTGGGTTTAATAATCAATCACTAAATTGATCCACACAATTGGTCCATTAAAATTTTGAAAACCATTTAATTAATCAGTTTTTATGCTACCCGACATAAAATTCACAAAAATTATGCAAAGTATTGAAATAAGTATTCATGGACTTATACTATATTGTTAAACAAATATCGATAAAACTTAATTACATTTACAAAGTAACTAATAATATACTTGAAATTTGAATACATTTAATTATCACATCCCTAGTGATTGTGTATTGATATTATTAATTGAGTATATATGCACCAGATTTACAAAATCGAGATTCTAAAATATTACAGATAGTCATTGTTTTCGATCATCACCTATCTATTACTATCAACACTCGTTAAACAATGTGATTTGTTGTATTTTTATTTGTTTTTTCAACAATTTAGTTGGTAACGTAATCATTTCTTGCAATAGATTTCGTAATTTAATCAGAAGAAGGTCTTTATTATTATTATTTATACTCATGTGCTTCTCGGATTTTTTTTTTTAGCTGATGAAATATCTCCGTCGGGCGTCGGAAAAGGAGAAGTGTCCGTGATAACGTCGGCAGAACCGAATCAGCAGTTCGTGTCCATCGACGGTAAACGCACGTACATAAACTTGTTCGGTTCAGCGGAACCAACCGCGGTGGCACCTCAGTCCATAAAACCGACCAGCGCTGCTTCCGGGTGAGTGTAATAATTATTGTATTAATTAGCTTATTCATAATATATTGGCATATTGCACTTAGTTAAATCTTTCACTCAATCATTGAATGATACAACCACACTAAGCACTGACGTTTCTCTAAATTTTGACTTTATGCATTTGCACATATTTTGTTCGGAAGGTAAATAAAGAAAATCTGATCGCAGTGTATAAAATTAATATTTTTAGTGTATATTTAGATTTTTATCTCTAATTGTGTATCTATATCAAATATAAATTATTGTGTGTTTGTCACTACTTAGTAATCCCGGAAACTACAAAATTTATCGAAGCAATAATCACAAATTAGAAGAAATTAATATTCTCGTTTGTTTTTGTTATGATTGGATTTAAGTGTAATTAATCAAATAAATAAATAAAATTCTTTACGGAAATACGACGTTTGCCGTGTCAGTTAGTAAAGATCTTTTGTTTTATCTAATCTAATTTTAATGAAATTACAAAGTATCATGTTTTATCAAATTAGTTAGAAAATAATTAAAAATTAAATTTAAAAAATTTTTCAAGTGCATTTATTATTTAAGTTTTTTAGCGCATTAACTCCCGAATCCCAGCGACCTAGTTATTAAATACATGATTTATACGTGGGTATACTGACTGCTGGTAAACAGGCTGTAAAATGAATATTTTCATTTGATCTAAATTAAACGCATCAAACAGCTTATAACGGAATATGAGCTATTCAATAATTAGGAAATTAGTAATTAGTAATCACTATATGAATATCATACAATATAGTCGTTACTGTGTACATGGATCCACTTAAAAATAGATAGACGAGTAAAACTATATATCGCATAAATATAGTAACGCGCTCGTGGACAAATTTAATGATTGTTTTTAATGTATTTCCTGGTATAATGATGGTCGGGATACTTTCTCTCAAGACGGTCTGAATATAATCTCCAAGGTCCTTAAAAAGTGTTCCGAATCAAACTTGTAGTCTACTGTACCAAATATTTCGTCGCGTTGGCGCGATAAAATATTATAATAATATACAATTATTATTAACGATCTGTCAAATATATAATATATTTTTAATTTTCTATTCATACTGTCCACAGACAATTTAAATTGTTACTAAATTATAATATACACTGCAATATATTTATTTATATTCATTATGTTGATAGTTGATACATAGAAATGTATTTTAAAACCTCAAATATCTGTCGTTCATATCTAATGTTTCAACTTCTATTATACATCTAACATCATAATAATTTATCGAGTATAGAATTATAATTTAACTACAAACACCAAAATAAAAATTTTAAAATAGTATGGGATCACATTATTCTTCCATTAAACGTAACATATTAATATATAAAATAGTATATTATAATCACTAAAAATAGTGTATACTATTGAAGGTTAGGTTTTAATTAAGGTTCGGGACTTAATGCATTTAAAATATATCATATATGCACAAAAACGTAGTAAAAAGAATATGCATTATCGAAAAATATATAGTTTAATTTTTCTATTAAAAAGAAATTTGAGTATATTATCATTAAGAACTCATTACAAACAAAATAAACCACAATATTTTTATTAAAATCAAAATACTCGTAATATAAATATTAAATACTAATATTGATAAAAAATAAAAAATAAATCTCGGTTTTTTATTTTTTCAACAGATATTTAAAATTTAAATAAATTTTAATTAAGTTAAAATTATGTTTATATAAATTATCATGATAAGAGTGTAGTTATAAAATATCAAGTAATTATAGTATCCAAATTTTCTGGTAAATCCAACTCTTTAATTTATTCTCCATAGACGATAAAATTTATGTTATTATTAGCATATCATCAAAATTCACGTTTTTGTTGAATAACTTTTTCAACTGCGAATGCAAACATTTTATTTTCTATTTTTACCAGTTAAATAACATTTAAAATATTTTAAATTATGATAATTGAAATATTTTAATATTTATTTTCGTTCGTTCTATTTCAGATCATATTCGGTCAGTCAAGTGCTGCAACCACACGGCGCGTCAAATGCACCGGGATCACTACCGCCGTCGCCGCCAAGCGGTGGCAAACCGTCAGCGCCAGCCTGGAAACGACCCACACACCCACCAGTAAGGATTGACACTTGCATCGTGGGCGATGATACGACTTGCGATGCGGCACAACATGAAAGGTGCCGCACCGAGCTCGGCGTATCCTCGTGCCTTTGCAGGCCCGGGTACAGCAGACGAAAGCACCGGGACCCGTGTCACAGTGAGTATTTAATGTTTGTTCTTCTATACTATATTAAATTTTTATCTTGTTTATAGCCTTATAGGTACGTTCAAATTTTATAAAATTCTTTAACGTAAAGTAATATTATCATACTCATTATTCATCTTAGCGAAACGAATCCGAACGACAACATTTTTGATTTATAAACATTATAATTTACATCGAAGATCGGAAGGTCTGAAAATGTTACTCTGTAAAATGCGGTAGAGTTATTTTAGGGCAATAGTATTTCGATAAGTTCCTAAAAACGTATATATATATATGTGTGTGTGTGTGTGTGTGTGTGTGTGTGTGTATTGTAACAATAAAAATGGATGGTAATCATGCGTCTCGTATGAAATGGGTTTGTTCTTTTTGTAAGTTTCGTGTCTGTTCTGACACATTCCGAATATGGGACGCTTTTTATGTTATTTTTAGAAGATGGTCCCGTTTAAATCCCGTTATCCCTATAAAATTTTGCCTCAAAGAAAAAACTTGAGCACAAACAATTAAAAAAACTTTTTGCCGTCTTCATATCGTCAGTGATATTAACATAAGACAATTCGTACGATCATCATTCATCATCAATTCTAAATACACGTCGTCTAACAATAATCGGCTCTTATCTCCAAAATATCTTGAAAGTATAAAATTACTTAATGATTTTCAGGTTTTTTGTTAAAGCTAAACCAAAATATTTTTTATTCCGTTTTTTTCGTACAAAATAATATGGTCACTGCAGGTTAGAGTGATAAAAAAAAACCTGTTATAATATACCTGTTTTAATAATGTCATTATTATTGCATTTGTAAGTACCTACTTTTATTCAACAATTTTTTCAGGAATCGTATCCATCGTTTTTTCGCTACGCGTTGATCGGTTATACGACAACAAGATCACGTGGACAGACAAGTACAAGGATTCCGAGACCCAAGAGTACCAACAACTTGAGCACGAAGCAGTTAGAGCGGTAAGGGTGCAATCACTTGTTACGAATATATTATATATTATACTATATATTTTTAGTTTTTACACAACTGATTGCCTAGTGTCGACAAGTATCGAATAAATAGCACTTTTCATTATTTTTCGGTTAAATATATGCTCTATCATAAGTAGTTTTATAAGACAATCGTAAATATTTCTAGTTTATGATCCATTAACGGGTTAGCAGCAACCTGCGTATCACGTGACTCGACTCGTTCTTTGTATTATAAAAAAATATGAAATAATAATAAATAATAAGCTAAATAATAATAGGTTATTGTTATAGATGCAGAGGAAACGGAGAATTGTAATCGATCTATGTCTTGCGATTTTTTCTCGGTTTTTTCTTTTATGCAACAGGTCTCCGATATTAGTAGTTGAACTCCGTTCTGCCAAAACTCACTTCCGACACTGATTAGTTATTCATAAATATAAGTAGTAAATTTTATTTTATTCGTTTAAGTTTATACTTTAAAAACACATCGTCCCAATAAGAAATTCCTTACTACGTGCCCTATACTTGTAATATCTACCCAACAAGTAACGAGTAATAATATAAATCTAAAATATTTATCTCACAGATCGATTCGGCGTTTTCAATGACACCATTTTCGGATACTTTTGTCGGCGTCAAGATCAACAACGTTTACGTGTCAAAGACGACACCCGGCATGCCGGTCATGGTTAATGCCACGGTGCAATTGACGGAAAACGCAGAACACTTGCGGTCGTCCGTCAAGCAGGACGTGCAAAAACAGCTGACGGGCGCGCTACAGAGGCGCAACAACAACGTGGGCACCAGCGGCCTATGGGTGGATTCGCCGGCCGGCGCCATATCGCAACTTCACGGTACAACGCCATCATTACTTACTAATATTCATATATAAATATGAACTTACTTGAGCAGACAACACGTACAATAGTCATTATATTATGCGGTATTGTAGAGGGTAGTTACGGATAAATTAGAATTTAACGATTATCGTAAATATTTCATTTGAAAAGTTATTACAAATATCATAATTTAATTTTACTAAAAATTTCAAGCATAATATAAATAATACCAACTTGCATGTATGAATAGTTGTTATTTTGGTAAATAAAACAAATAATGACAATCTGTAAAAAAAAATGATTATTTATATTTTAAAATATCGAGCCTATAACAAATATGTAGGTACTTATTACAAAAATGTTAATTTTTAACCTGTATAATTTTCATACAGAAAATAAGAAATATTCAAATTTCATATAGCTCTGAAAAATGCCCCAAATTTCCATGTTTTCTGTAATCTGCAGTCAACCTAACCTACACGTACACGTGTATAAATACATTATAACGCCATATAATATTATTACGTAAAAACGTCATGCGCGTTGTATTGTACCCATTATATTTTTATATGTGATTCGTTTACAGATCTTGATGAGTGTAATAGTCCGGAACTGAACGATTGCCATCCGTTGGGCAAATGCACGAACGTGTTCGGCACGTTCCAATGCGCGTGCCCCGACGGCTACAGGGATCCTTGGATTGGAAACGCTCAGCGCAGCGGCCGGACTTGCGAGACGTGTGACCCAGGCCAGTGCAACCTCCGAGGAGAATGCTTTTTCCAGGCAGGACAGCCGGTGTGCAAGTAAGTACCCACCATTACTACATACGATATAATCATGGTTTACAAATCTTTCACTTAAAATCTTTTGGATTTATTGTGTTTTATAATCGACGAGATCATATTATAATAATATAGGATAAACGGATAGATACTGTTTGAGTCATTCGAACATTTACCACGACTTCTTGCACCCCCTCGCCATCTCCTAAACGCATTTAGAAAATGTGAATAATTACAGCGCTATTAACAAACAATATATAATACGAATGATCGTCGTCTGCACAACCCAATCGGTGTAGTTATTAATCATTGCGCAATTTGACAATTTTTGTAAGACGATGAAATTTTTGTACAATTTCTGTGTTATTTCTACAAAATAATAGTGTTAAACAAGTACATAAATATAGTCACGATAGATGGGATACGGTATCCAAATTCTCCCTACCGAAATTAAGCCAGTATAATAAATAATATGCGATGGGTATATTTCGTTGTACTCAATCATGTTCGCATGCAGCGCCGTCATTTACAATAGGTAATAATATACGCACCACTTGCGGAAGTCGGAATTACCGTTTTACACGGTTATACGTAGTTCATAAAAGGCGATAAGGCTACAAGGCGCAGGACGTCGGCAAATCGTCGACGAATCATCGTCACGACAATGAAATGTGCGGTCGCCGTAGGAACGACAAAAAATAATTGTAGGTCAGTGTGTAATAGTCGTCGTTATAGTCGTGGTCGATGATGAATAATATACATACACCGCACGCCAACGTCAATTATAGATGCCCACGAAAATTCATAGGTATAACATCTTTGCGATAGCCGGTTAATTGCACGAGTGCACAATATGTATGTGTGTGTGTGCCGTGTGGTTAACGGTACTTCGAATGTATTACTGTGTCGCATTAAATGATTTTAAAACATTTTTCGTATCAATGTTCCAATATTTTTATTTTTTTTTTAACTACATAATATTATATTATATTATACAACTAAACATTATTTGCCTGAAGAAAATACGCTATTTTTAATTTTAATACTATTTTTACGGAACAACACGGTGTAAATTTTTTACATCGACTTTTTCATAACTTAACTCTGAATTCAATACCATTTCGCTAATAATAATATCTTTGAAAATTTGTGAACAAAGACACGTGTGGTGTGCAGGACTAAATACAATTGTACAATTGAACATGTCCACGTTAATAAAGCATAAGGGGAGTCTAAAAAACGATTTGTTTACAATTTCACGGGTTTCTAGAACGACTAGAACATTCCGATAGAAGAATATACAGAAACGTTCTAAATAATTTTATTTGTCACAGTTTTTACTGCATATTAGTAATATTAGCATATTGTACTACATATATACAATTGCGGCGTGTAAGCATACACCTGGCTTGTACGTAATGATATGCAGAAGTAGTTTTCGTTTAATTTAATTCAATTTGTATATTATATTATACAGGCAGTACAAAATTTCGACGGTATTCGTTTTCCTTTAAATATGTATAATAATAAACAACCAGTTGAATTTAAAATTTTAACCAAACAGTCTTAATGTCTTTCAAAATTCAAGTCAATTATATCGCTGTCTCTATCAACGTTAAAATACGCGTTTAAAAAACCACATTAGTAATCGTAACAAACGTGACATTCGATTCGAGTGACCACAACATTTTCATAAAAAAAAAAAAATGCAAAATAAATTGTTGTCTGTCAATAAAATCGTATCAATCCGAAAGTCTCGACCCCCCTCCCCCCTCGCTGCCGATATACTTTGCAGGATATTTTACGTATGTACTGCAAACGCATAATATATTATATAGGACTATGTATATACCTATATTATATGTTATTTATCGCGAACCATCGCGGTCGTTTAGGGACCTAACCAAAAACAACGCAAGAATAAAAAACATCACGTGAATAATGCGACAAACACGTTTACCGCGCCCGCGACCGAAAACGCTTTCGGTCAAGTATGGGCAACCCCACCAATGCATATACGATTTAAACGATACAATACGATTTATGTACTCGTTTTTTATCATTATTATCATTATTATTATTATTATTATTATTATTATTATTATCATCGTTATTATCGTCATTATCGTCATTATCGTCATCTATATACACCGCTGATGTTCGTCTACCGTCGCAGGTGTTCGGGATCGTTTTACGGGTCACAGTGCGAGATCGACGGCGAAGTGCTGAGCGTGGCGGTCGGCTCGTCCGTGGCCGCCATATCCATCATCGTGCTGACGCTGGTGTGCCTGTGCGCGTGGAGTCGCCGCTGGAACAAGGAGCAGAAAGTCGGCTCGCCCGTGTTCGGGTACATGCCGACCGGCGGCAGCACTGTGAAAACGCCCGTGATCGGCGGCCCGCCGTACCAGGTTTCCATCGAGGACCGCATGAGGTGGGCCCAGATCGCCGATGCCATGGCGCACGCCAACCACTATGCCGTGAGTATAAAACATAATAACATTAAAGTGTGCTTAAAACGTGTACGCGATGTAGAATTGTTGTTTCGCGCCATACCGCCTGCTGCTCGCGCGGTTAACGTCGGCTGGCGGCGATGCCACGGTTGTCGGTTATTATTTATCGCGTTTCCGGAAAATATAATATGTATTTTCGTAGAGTCTTTCCGACGCGCTCGGGCGATTAAATTAAAAAAAAAAATAAAATAAAATAAATAAATAAATATTTCAGAATCGTAGCTCGTAGCTCGTTAACGTCGTCCCATAGCCTCCCCACCCCCTCCAATCGTAATAGACGATATTGGCGACACTCGTTCGAAATTCATACCGCGAGACTGGTTACGATCAAATAATACCTACGTAGGTATATCCATAAATATCACACAGAAACGCGTTTGCTGATCTGTGTGTGTGTGTATTGGATTCGGGTTAAAAACTTTTTGTCGAGTGTATAGTCATAGTGTAGTGGAAACGGAAACATTCCAGTTGCGATGCGCCTCGTACATCATCGGTGATGGAAACCGGATATTATTATAATTACAGACGATTGTTTCAAACGATAAATAATTACACTATCGCGATAATATCGCGACGGTCGTCTTACGAGGCGCGCAAAATGAATTCCGACTGCGTTCCTCGTTCTCTTCCAATAATAATAATAATGACTCTCGTGTCCGTGTACGTAATCCGTCGATTGATTTTCAGCCCGAACCGGTAAACGGCACCATGCGGTCGAACATGTTCGGGTACGCCGGTGCACCGATGCCGCTGCCCAGGCTCCGGCCGCCGGGCACGAGCACGATTTCGCATGCATTCCGCACGCCGGAGTCGAGCACCAGTGAAGAAGAGGACCGGACCGACCTGCTGGGCCGCAGCTTTCAGACTTCGTCCAGACCGAAAAGCAGATCTTCCTTGGCCGTGAGTATATAATGGATTATTATTTGTTAGTCAATTGTCACGCGTTTATGTTATTCCTTGCACGACACGCGCGAATACGGCGTAGTATGATGACGCACTCATGATCATCTGCAGAAAAACGTTTTAATCGGTTGCAAGGGCAAGAGAGAGAAGAGCTTTTCTGTAGCAAAACCGTGAGGAACAGATATCGTGTTTAACAATACCTAGTCAATATTATTCCTGGCTTAAATTATATCTAGTTACAGAATTTGAAGAGTTATTATTTGTGACCGTTCGATTATCTATAAAAAAGTTGAGGCCCTCTTCCGTTTTTGGAGAAAGTTACCGAATAAGATAAGAATGTAATAGAATAATTTCCAGTTTTCGCAAAAAATCGAAAAATAACTAAGAAAATAATGTATACCTATTAGACAGCATATACACAATAAATTATATTATTATACTATAAAAATAATTTTTCAATTGTAGTGTTCGTTGAAAACGTATAAAAAACTGATGACAAATTGGCAACTATATGTCTTTATGTGACTCAATCTCGTTGCGTTCTAATTCTCCACAGAGTATTGTTTGTTTTCTTTTATAAACGTTTACTAATAATAAAGTTTTGGGAAGAAAAAACTCTCGACGAAATCGTTTTAAAGATTTATTCTCAAACGTATTTTATTCGTAAAAAAATCCATAACTTTGTTAATTTAACTAACGTTTTCAAGCGTAGCTACTTGTTTAAAAAAATTAAAAAAATTATCTAGATGGACATAAAAAAACCGTCTAGTCATCGGTAGAATGACATCGGACATATTTTCTACGTTAACATTAAACAAAGCATAATGGTATATCTTCATCTAGACTGATTTTTTTTTTTTTCTTAAATATTTTAATAACTTGATGGTTATTACGGGCCGATTGCTATTCATCAGATCGGTAGAACACTGTTATTATTGGTATTTCATAACTGTTCATATAAAACGGTAACGTGCCCTATGTGTGCATACATAAATATATAATATCGTACGTGTTAAATAATATGGAATTTGTCATAAGAAAATTTATCGATTCCACGTAGATGAATCTCCTTCGAGACCTTCACGCCTTGAATGATATTAACATTATAATATAATAGATACGTACAATCTATATTAATAAGCATTTACAAAGTCATTTTATTTTCGTGTCATGGGAATTATTTTAGTGGTCTACACCCATCCTCAAATCATTGTTACAGATTTTTAAACCATTATCGGATTTACAGTCAGGATTCAAAAAATCCGCTGTTTCGAACTACAGTCTACATAAATACATATATATATCATTTATAAATACTTAAATAAAGTTCGAGGAAAAAACATTATAATTTCTGAAAAATATGTTTAAGTAGTTAAAATAAAATAAATTATTTATTAATAGTGTCATCAATAAAAGTGTATTTATTAAATTCAATTATAACTTCTAACTTCTTTTCTTATATTATATTAGTACATATAACTATGTGACTACGTATACTTCGATCATACATATTTAACGAAACACAGACATATATAACGATATACCTAGTCATGCTACAATCGGGAAATTAATCAATAAAATTCATCAAGAATCGAGTATTTCTAAAAATAATAGTAAATCCAATAAAATTTCAGGTGTTATGTTAACGAATTGTTGATAATGACGAACAAATAAATATTTTACTATAGTTTTAATCTATTTTACTTTTTTATACTTCATAAATAATTATTAGCATTTTTCAAACGTAGTATATTTTATCATTAATTTTGTTCTAAGTTTGACCTTTATGTGACGGTCTCTTTAGATCTTTCCTTATATTATTATCTGTACTAATTGTTTTTTTTTTTCACCTACATACAGAATCAGAGCGGAATTTACTACGACGTGGATTATGAACAACAGCAGGGCGAAATGACGTTCTCGCCCGGTTGCATTCCGCTGAGCACGTACACCATTGGCAGCCGCTCAAACTACTACCGATGATGACGATGACGAATATACCGAAGAACGACGATTATGACGAAAATCTCGCAAAACAGTATAGATGATGAATATCGCACGTGTACTGTATATATTATGTTATTATTATTATTATTATTATTATTATCATCGTTTAAGCGACACAGACTGAGGACACAAAACGCGTTTACTCGTAATCCAATAAAATAATAATAATATACCTACACTGTTATTACTGTACACCTTACATATATAGATAAATATATATATATATATGCCATTTATGAAAAAAAACCAAACGTGTAATAATAATTTATGTTAATTATAATTATATTTTTATGTTAAATGTTTATACGCATGAGCTAGTATAAAAATAAGCATCCGAACAGTGCTATGTTTTTATCATGAATACAACAATATTATAGTATACCTGTAAAAGTAATAGTATAGTTAATTCAGTTAATTGTAACATAACTATTTGGACTTTTCGCACTTTGCGTTTTCGGCGTGACGTCACTGACCAATTGACTTGGTGATGCCACCCCGAGAGCGGCTGAGACAGTGCAGTTATTATGATATGATTATGTATAACTGTATCAATGACGTTGCACGATTAAATAATATGTAATAGGTACTTATGTCCGTTTAATACATAGGTATTATATGTATTCGCAAATTAGTAAATATTTTTAAACATAAAATCTTTGTACATAATATATAATAATACTATTAATGTATATGTATGTAAAATAATAAACGCGGAAAATGTCCGAAAGATCTATATAATTTCATATACGTATTATATTATATACCTAGATTATTGTTAATATTATGTAATATTTACAGTGAAAAAAATCACGACACTCTAGCGCGTTAACGTAGCAATGTTATATATAGATAGTTTCGTCCATTGATCGAAGTCTTGATATATTATATTAACGTTTATCGATAGACGAGTGCCATAAAATGTCTGCACACATTCGAAATAACAACATTATGATATTATGTTTTAAGTATACCTATACAAGTTTCCTCAATACTATTTTACTTATTTTTTTTTTTATTTATCATATGTATACGATTATTAATTATTGTACTGAAAAAATTTGGTTACTGGATTTTCTTCCTTCGTTTTTTATTTAGTTTCACCATACCAGTAAGCATGTTTTACAGTACTTAAATTAGATCGAGATCGACTATAAAAAAAAAATAATAAATAAAAAATTTTCAACAATCTTTAAGTAAGGTGTACATACTATATTATTTATTAACATTTTTTTTTTTTTTAAATTTTATTATTAATGTTTAAGGCTCTGTAAGCAACAACTTGAATCATATAAAAATTTGTATTATTAGCTAATAATTTTATAGCTAATTATATTTATTTATATAATAGTATTATAAATTGTATACGTGTTATGTAGTTTAAAAAAAATATATATGTTTGTATATTCGCTATAATGTTCATTTAACGAGTTTTATTTTAAAAAATGTGAACGATTAATGAATAAATAGTTCGGATATGAACCATTATTAATAATCTAACACAGCTAAAATATTATGTTCTACCTAAAATAAAGTCCGGCCCACAGTTTTAAACTCGGTAACTAGCCGGTTTTATTTTTTTATCCGGGCCTAGGGCATTTGTATCATCACTAAAAAACATATTAATTATTTTAAAATATGATTTTAAAATACATAATGCATACATAGATATACCTTAGAGTACTCTATGAAATATATCTACTTAAGATTTCCAAAACTTAGAATCAGATAAACGTGTTTTATATTATACCTATACTTAAATACTTATTGTACTGTATAGCACATACAGTATAATTAGACCAAAATAGAATAGCACAGTCTATAATATTCTATAATTGATAAAAAAAATAGACGATCTATGGCATAATTTAATAAGAATTATTCTATTTTTATTTGATCCTATGTAGTATTATATGTACTCATTTCGCTTTTGGAATCAAATATTATTCATTTCACCATCGTTTGCTGTATTTATGGCGACTTGCAATTCTTCATCAAGATGAAACGGTCTTACACTCGCGCGACCTCCTGATTTCGAAATTAGCACATTATTATTTAATTTTGTAATATAATAATGCATTATGTCAGACTAGTGTAGACAACCGAGAAACATTCAACCTATACATGACTGCAGATGCGTCGATAACTTCATTATTATTTATTATAATTGTTTATAATACCTTTACAAGACTACAACCAACAATCCGATGGAAACGTTACCGCCCGAGGTGTGTAAATAATATTTAAGTACAGTTATTTTATTATAGGTGTACTCTGCAAGTCCGGACTAACCGCATGTCTATTGTCTAGACATAAGGCTATTATTTTTTATAGTCCCTAAATCGTTAGGGCCTGCAAAGTAAGTTTACAATCGATAACTATGAATATACATGCATTACCAGCTGATGTAGGTACACCTATATGCATATATTTATCTTCATTATGAACGAGCTATCGAATCCTACCGGCGCAACACTATTTCCGTCCACATGAATTTTACAGATAATCACGGAAATCCTGGAGTACCTGTCGTTTGACGACCGGCGCCGGATGGCCCTGGTCAACAGGACGTTCCGGTACGCGTCCCTGCACCCGGCGCTGTCGCAACAAGAGCTGTTCGTGTACACCGCGCCGGTGCAGCGGCTGCGGGTGGACGACCGGCGGCGACGGTTCGAGGACTTTAAAAAAGCGTTGCGCGAGCCCCGGAGAAAGCGGTTGTGCCTGAAATTCTGCGGCACGAACCGCGCAGACATCGGCAGGATATTCAACAGCGGCGCTGGTTGGCCGTCGTCCGTAGTGTCCCTGCACCTGGACAACCAGAGCTGTCTGACCGACTCGTTCTTGGACGCGATCACCAACTGTTGCGACGGTCTGGAAGAGCTACGCCTCGAGAACATCGGCCGGATGTGCTTGGCCGACAAGCCCCGGCGACCGATGCTCGCGTTGCGCAGCGTGCGCTTGCACTGCGTGGGCGTGTCGGACAGGTGTTTCAACGTGCTCATGAGTTGTGCCCCGAACGTGGCGGACGTGTGCATCGATGACTGTCAGACGTACGAGTGGCTGGACCACGCGAACGCGACCATCGATAACGGTATTTCCAACGCGGGGCTATCGGACGCCAACATCGTCGGCTACCTGCAGGGCACTGCGGCCAGCACCGTGGACAGCCTTCAATTGTACCAGTGTTGTCACGTGTTCGGCGCGATGCGGTCTCAGGTCCTTCGGCTCAAGTCCCTGCTGCTGAGTCAGGACAAACCGTACCTGAGCACGTGCCGGACGATCGACTACGACAAACTAGAATCGGCATTGGCCCTACAAGTGAGTTGTACCGCACGGGGGACCGGTCGATCACTGAAAATGTCGCGCCGGCAATTTATATAAAAAAAAAAGTTTTTTTTGAAAAATATTTATAATAGTTGTATAATGTAACATCGTCATTTCGTATTTTAATCTAGACAAATTCAACTTCGTCATCACAGTGTAACGTATTAAAAAGAAATCCCCTTCGATGTGATTTAAAAATGTAAAATTATTATCGTTTGTAAAATGGATGATTGACAGGAAAAACTCTATTAGTAACAATTCACGAGGTGGTGAATCTCGACGGTGTATAATTTTAAATCCTCACCCGTTTTACTCGAATTGAATACTACTATTATTGCTTTGATAAATTTTAAGTCATTTATTGCGCCCCATGTCAACTACATACCTAGTTATGTCTAATTTAAAAATTGTCCGTAAAAATAATACCTTATGATTAAACATAAATTGCAAGGTTAAAGTCTTGTTCGTCAACAATTCATAGCAACATATAATATTGTAAAACACTTAAAAATGTAACGGTCCAATAACATCCATATGAGAGTGTTCATTAAATTTTGATGTAAAACATTATATTAAAACCAATCACGCTGCAGGTGTCGCTGCAGTGGTTGGAAATCAATCACCTCCCGGCACGTCTACTCGCGGCCGTGTCCGGGCTGCGCGGTCTCCGGCATTTGACGTTGAACTTGAATATTAGTCGCGACGACGTGGGATGTCTGCGAGAATTTTCGGAATCTTTGCGTGACATGAAGCGTATCAGGACGTTGGCCGTGAACCGAGTGGTCGCGACATCGGCGGACAAAGAACGCGATATGCTACTTCAGACGTTCGCGATACCGGAATGCGCGTACGAGTCCCTGACGTCCTTGGATTGTTCGTTAGACAGCAGTCTGTGCGCGTTGCGTGCCGGCAAACGGTTGACAAGTTTACGGATTCGAAACGGTGACGTCCTGTCGGCCGGAAGTTTGCGACTGTTGTTCGAAAACCTCGTCGGTCTGAGACGTCTGTGGATCGACAACTGCGTCTGTCTGGACGATGACGTCATGTCCGGCTTGCCGGTGTCTAATCTCAGAGGTACTGCAGATATTTGCCCATAAATTATGATATAAATATGGTACCTAACGGCTGAACGAGACCAGATCGGTCATATTACAATAGGTTATAAAAAAATATATATATTTTAAGGCCGCCATTTAAGGATGTCCTGAGGAGGTGGGGTGGGCAAACAAGATAAAGTCATCTGTAGCACGTCAATAATATTATGGATATTCCTTTGAGTCAGTGTACCGGGTGTTACAGAACTAAAAATTACGAAACTGACGTGAGAAATCTCTTTTTTTTTCATTTTTATATCTAACCGAATTCTAACAGTTCATCCATTAATAGTACCATTTCATCACCAACAGATTTCCTTTTGAATAGTTATAGTAAAACCTTATCTTTATTACATTTTCAGGGTTGGTTTCTCTAAAGATATTCAACGCAAATTTGACATACAGATGTCTGCCACACATTAAACTTTTGCATTTAAGCGTCTTGATCATCGACAATATGTCATTAGGACCGTGCGTTGCATTGGTAATATAATAATACATGCATTAAGATTAGTTACATGTTACATATTTTATGTAGGTACCTACGTTGGTATAAGCAGGTAGGCATATAACACAAAAATAATAATAATAATAGAACGATAAAAAACTGACGAATGTTAAAACGAAATTTATATATTACAAACTACCGAGAATCATAAAAACTATAGGACAACTATTTATTTACATCGTAAATAAAGTGATCACTAATTTTTAAGAAAAACGACGAAAAAAGAATTACGTGATAATATTTTTGAACGTCATGTTATTAATTTTTCATAATTTATAATTATTTTAAACATGTAAAGGTAATTTGGATTTTTTCTCCAAAATTGTTTTTAAAATATTTGCTAGTTTTAAAATGTTTATAGGAATAGAGTACTAAACTTATTTTAATATATTTTTAATTTGATAACAGATTAGTCACAGAGGATATTAAATTATTTGAAGATTTAATTTAATTTACCATACAACCAATTTTATACTCCTAACTGTAGGCCCAAATTATAATGACGAGTTACCGATTATAATTTATAACTCGGTGTGTTGGACTTAATTTTAGTACCTAACAAACTTTGTCCTAATGCATTTTAATAGGTTTTAGGTTAATAAAAGTTCTAAAACTTAGTGCCCCGGTTCTTATCTTACTTTACGTAATTTTACTTAAAATAATATTTTTCAATTTAAAAAAGTTTTTTGAATGAAATATTATAGGTATTTGCTTATATTACTATAGTACCTAATTGTAATTATCTATATTTTATTTTTATTTTTTTGTTACAGAGCAATTTGTCTGATTTCGATTATTGTTTAAAAACATTTAGTTGTTTTGTTCCCGCTTTAACTCAACTCGAATTACAACTGTATTGTAATCAAACGATGTTTAAAAAATTACGTTTTCAAACATTATTTTATAGCGACACAAAAACTTTGTTCAAGTCTTATTTTAGAACATTGAAAATACTGGTACTACTGTATAGGTACACTTAACCATAAACTTATTTTATAGGTTTATGCGGTAAGGTTACTGATCCCATAATTTGATTTTTACAAGTTGAAACCCAAAAATTTATATTTACATTTACTAAGAATACATAATGCAATACTTTTTTCCTCATACCAGTCATACCATAACATATATAATTACATATTACCTATATGGGTTATTCATAGAAATAAATGCCCGTTATTTACCTGTTTACTTTAATTTACTATTATAAATATATTTAATTATATAGATATGTACTTAGTACTTACTTAGTAGGTAGGTACAATATTATAATTTATAAATTATAATCATTGATTAGACATAATCATTAATTATTTCATGTTCCAATAATACCATTACCTATAGATACTTCTTTTTCTTTATGAATGACTGAAATTGTAGAGAAAACTGCATAATCGTTACTACCCTCCCCCAACACAATGCAACAACCTATATGGATACTCTTGTATAGTAAATTACACAAACTATTATCACTGATTTAAATAGTCAACATACTGATTACTGATCCATTTTAAGTACCTAATAATAAAAATGTTATGAATATCTATTATCCTATATAATACCTATAGGTACTAGGTACATATTATATACCTAGTAGCTGGTAAGTATCAGTGGCGTAATTATGGGGGGAGATATGTTGATATATCCCCCCCAGAGGCTTCTTTTTTAGAAAACTATAATTAAATTCCCGTAAGCACAAGTCTAGATTTTTAAATCAAAAACATCATGATTTCAGTTAATGGTATGTCATGTACATAATTGAATTTCATTATCGGATATTATATTTTCGATAACGAGAGAGTGGCATAATTATATAATCTTAGGCTAGGATCACACTATGCGTTTTGTCGGTTCCCGATCAACCGGAGCCAAACTTTTGTTAGCCCTTGCTAAAAGGTTCCCCAAAATAGTATATGATGCCATAAGACAAAAATACAAAATACTTCGAAAAACAAAGAAAAATCTTATACAAATAATACAATCAAACATTTAAACGAGATTGGTAATGGTACTAATGTACTATTTGATAATAGCCTTGATAATGGTAATATTAAAATGAATAACTGCAATATTACTATTATTAACAATTATTATTATAATAATTCTACGAATCATAAAATCCATCCTAAAAAAAGACCATAATAACCGTTGCTCATAAGTCACACTGTCCAGCGAGTGCCGGTAGATCTCCTGAACCCAACAAGCACTGCCAATCCACGTCAATAGTATGTTCTGGATCCCCCGCAAAACCGGTGAATCCGGCTACCCTGCCCAGTCTATAGCTTTATGCTATCACGCTCATATCCGGGCATGCTCGGCCCAGCCCCTCTCCTCCCATTCATGTTTATCACTTACGTTCTCAGCTAGCCTCCCTTCCCACTCGTCCTATCGTATAGTATACACCCTTATAAGTACTTAGTACAGTTGTATTAATAATTTATGTAAAATAAAAGCATGATGTGTATAAAAATTATTTTTTTATTCATTGAATTAATATTAAGTTTGACAATAAATATTTACATTGTTCTTACTTCGCCATTAAATAGATTATAAGTTATAATTTGGTCATGTAATATTAAGCAATATGCCAAAGTGGAGGCTGAAACGCTACTTCAGTCTCATCTCAATCCTTAAATCAACAGTTGACGTTTTTACATAATAGTTCTGTCTGCTCATACGCAGTCATATCCACAACTATGATCGGCGATAGTTTTTTTAAAATCTAATGGAGTCAGTAGAGTAGTAACATTATCACGACCATAGTAGGATATCTGGAACTCTCGTGATATAATGTAGCTATCTTGTTAAAGTCGCTTTGAAATTCTTCGTAGGATAATACTTCAGAATTTAAATAAACCTTTAAGTTTTTGATTTTACAATGATCAAAACATGACATTGCTTTACTCATACTGTTTTTCCTATCTGTTTGAAATCCGATTATAGCATACCGAGATTTTTCTAATTTCAAAATATGTGTGACAACACTTGTGCTCAACATGGAGCTATTATAATTGGGATATACTTAGAATAATAAAATAATAATTATAATAATAAACGTTTTATAAGAAACAGGTTGTGGTCAATGGTGTCGCGTCAAAATGTCGTGGTAAAAATATCGCAACAAAAACGTCGCGATAAAAATATCGCCAAAACAAAAATGTCGCAGGTAATAATTATCGCCGTAGTCGCCGATGTGACTCGTAGTTCCGGTTTTCGTTCAGTCGTAGGTGAGATTAGATTAAATTAAAGTAGGTATCATACAATAACTACGAAAATAAAGTTCAGTATACATATTAGTGTGTAGTTAGTGTTAGTGTGTAATCTACAACCATAGCAGAAACTCTATAATATAAATAAGTATATAATCTATACATTATATCATTTGAGTATATAATAAACCAAAAAAATGGAAAATTAAGTTTAATTTCTTTTTATACAAAAAAGAAAGAGAAAACGAAAATAAAATTTTTTGAAGTGCATAGAGCAGGGGTCTCCAACCTTTTTTTACGGCGGGCCAAATTTGATATACGCTTTGGCATCGCGGGCCAACATTTTTAGAAATGTGTTGTCTATTGTTTAAAAAAAAAAAAATGTTGTCTATCTAGGATTCTAGGAATATCTGATAGATTATGAAATTGAGAAATAAATAAGAATAGATGAGATTTATTTAAAAAAATGTATGTTTATTTATATAATTTTTTAATTTATTAATTAATTTAATAAAAAATAAATTAAAAACAATGAAAATTAATATATTATTTTCAAAACATTAATTAGCTTGGCGGGCCGGATCTGGCCCGCGGGCCGTAGGTTGGAGACCCCTGCCATAGAGTATAATACAAAGAAATGTCGCGGTCGATTACATTCATCTAGACAAAATGTAGTTCATACTACTGAACATAACCATGTTGCCGATATTGTAAAAGCTGAAGCTAAAGAAGTAATGGCAAGACTTAAAAATATTGCAAAAACTTCTCAACTTAGTACCCATTCTGTATTAGGAACACTGACATCACAGGTATATATAGTCATATAGATATATTAATAAATAAATCATACCTATTATTAAAATACATATTTTGAGTTTTTACTACATATTCATGTACATATTTTGATTTCATAAATACATATAAATCCAAACTCCAATTATAATATTTATATTATATTTTTCATATTCTTGACATCGCGATATTTTTGTATTCGCGACTTTTTTGTGTTTACGACATTTTTACCACGACATTATGACGTGTATTCGTGGTCAATCGCTCTGGTCGGTAATATAATACTATTATACGTAGGTATACGGTTTACGTCGCCAACAACAATGTGATTCAGCTATAATTATGGTAAAAACAAGAATCCAAAAATACTATTGAAAAGTATAGATTTTTTTATTATTCTATTCAATTATGTCATACGAAAATACCATAAATAAACGACTTTTTCCTAAAATCAATTTCGAAAGTTATAAATTATAACAGTAAAGTAAAAAACGGGATTAATAAGGGATAGATTTGAAAATACGGACAAATAACGTCCTGAAAGAAGATTGTCAGGACAATTAAGTATCTACCTACTAAGTACCTCATACTAATTGCAAATTGTAAAAAATTACAAAATTCAAAGACAATTCAATGATAAATCACCATTTACTAAAATATTGTTAGTAAAAACAAAAAAAAGTAAACGAGATTGATGTATTTACAAGACTCGAAAAGTCGAAAATGAAAGTAGAATTTTTTTAATACCCCTCTTTAGTTGAGGAAATTAAAATCATAATCATTTAATACCTATCTCAACTAAAACGGTTCTGATAATATTAATTTGTATACTTGTTACCAAGTTGTTATATCTAGATGGTTTATGTTGATGCATATATCTATTACAAATCAGTTGATATAAAAATTCAATTGTATGTTTTATTTGTGGATGATAATTGCCAAAGTCAAAAATGAGATGGAGGCCATCATGGTCTATTAATGAATTAAGAAAATGATACTCAATAGCTAATATAAATACTTTAAAATATTTAAAAAATATAATTCAGCATGTTGAATCTCTAACTCAAAGGTTTTTCTCACAAAAAAGATTAAAAAATGTTGGACTACTTTCAATTCCACATTTCTAGAATTTCAACTTTACATTAATACTTCTTTCTCATTACTCATTTATTTCATTCACTAATTCACTATGTACATTTAACAGAGAAGTTAAAACTAATAAATTGGAAAATTGCATCAAATCAAAAAGACATGAACAAGCAAGTTTTTTTTTAAATTGTGTGGTATAAAAAAAGTAAGTACAATTAATTTGATCCTAAGAACTTTTCATAAATTAAATTAATTCTAGGGGAATAATTAAAACAATATATTGATAAAAATAAAAAAATTTATAGCTTATATGGATTTGTAGATTTCTATATAGCACATATAAATGTTAGCAATATAATTAAATTATTTTAATATTCTGTTCTCCTAACATAATATACAAATTTAAAAAAATTTTTTATTAATTTGTTCATTTAGGTTTTTAATTTTTATGCAATTGATTTTTTTTCAAATATAATATCAATTAATTTTTTTCATTTAATTTTATAAATGTCAATTGCCAATATTTTTAAGTAACTTTTGATGACTACCTAATATCAATGTTAGTTTATATTATTGATTAATAAGTATTTAAATTTATTTTTATTTCTACCATAACATATTTAGTTAAATATGTAACAAAAAATTATTAAGTAACTTACTATCTCATAAATATATCAATATCAGTTAACAAATCTAGAACTACCTTTTTAAATAAATTGTCTTTTGCAAATTACTTTTTTGAAATTTAACATCACCACTTAATATTAAAATAAAAACGTATAATTAATGTAACTAATTGTAAATTTTAATAAATATACTTATGTATTTCAAGAAAAAACTTAAGCAAAAGTAATATTTACTACAATAAGTGTTTAATATTTTTATTATTACTTTTTTTCAACACAAATTAACAATATTTTTCTAATATACATTTTTTTTAACTTGAACATTGAACGCCAGTGATTACAAAATTATAATATTTTTAATAAATGTGATCAACATCATCTAATGCTAATTCTGGTTTGTCATATCCAAGAGCTTCAGGTGTGTCAATACCTAATTCCTGTAGAGTAGGTGAGATTTCTTGTAAAATATAAGGGTAGATGCTTTTATCAATTTCACTTTTAATTCGCACACTCTCAAGAAATCTTATTGCCATAGCATAATCATTGAGACGGCGACAAGCTTTCAGGGCAGCAATAATCACCTAATAAAAACAGAAAACAACCATCAGTCAGTCATACATTGGTTAGTATAATAAATATTAAAATAGCATAGAAAACAATTAAACATACTTTTGGTTCAGCTATAGCATCTTGACCAGCTAGATCATTCATTGCTTTCCTTGCTTCCCACCCGTCAATGTCACTACGGTTGAAATATGCTTCATATCTTGAGTAGAATTCTTCATCGGTCTCTTCTTTATGTTCAGACATAAACCTAACGGACGATATAAACGATCGAAAACATATCTATAAAAACGTAGTCCGAACACCAAGTAGTGTATTTATTACCTTGTAGAAACAGCAGTGATCGGTTTAATTGTAGATTGTCGCCCGACGGTCATGACTCCACGGGACATTTTTGAACAAGAACGCAACACTGAAGAAAACATCGTCGTTGGTTATTTAATTCCAATTAGATGAATATTTTTGGAGTTCAATAAAATCTTAAGAAATACTCGAAAATAATGACACAAATTTTAATACGGCGAAAATTATTTGACCGAGACGATTCACGATAGACGATAAGTGAGAAAATTAAAAGCGCCTCATCCAATTTTACTAGTGGAAAAAAAAGTAATCAAACATCTGTTAAACAGTGAGGTTATAAATGCAATACTGATTTAGCGCTCACGACGGTTGTCTTAGTTACTATACAATCGATTTGATTACGATTAATATTACTACTACAATATCGATATAAATGCTATCGAAATTATTATCAAAATTAATGATTAATATTTTTAAATTTTTAAGTATTCTCAATAGTCAATACTTATATACTAAATAAAATAAAGTAATATAATCAATTCATTATGTCAAATGTCAATAAATATTTATTTTGTCATGAAACTTAAAATGTATACGTCAAACAATTATTTACATATAACAAGTATATTTATTGTTTTATACAAATTATATCTATACATTAATACTTCATCAAAAACAAAAAAATGTGTACAAAATATAACTAATTAATTATTATTTTACATTTAATTAATATATGTTATCATAAATTACGATTAAGATAATTATGAATTATTAGCTAATGAAAAAATAATGCAATGATTTTGTCTATTCATAGTTAACATTTTGCTGAAGCAAAACCTTATTCTTAGAATATTTATCATGATAAGAAATGGCAGAAAGTTTTATTGGATCAAAAGTATAATTGTTTTTTCCTCTTTACACAGCGTATAATTTATAGGGTTTACATATCAATAAATTAATTATTTACAAGCTGTTTTGAGAACAATTGTAAATAAATTATGTTCATGACAAACTAAATAACCAATAATTACATTCTGAGAAACAAATAAAAACAATTCACAAAGTGCATTATTTTTATTCACATACCTATGGAAATTAGAATTAAATAAATTTATAATCAAACTTATACATAAATTATTTCTTTATCCAGGTAAAAAAAGTTACACTGAGAATATTGGCTTTCTACAATTAAAAAATGTTCATTCAAAGGATATGTAACACAGTTTTGAAATACAGGTAGAACAATTTTTAGTTAATTGCTTGACCTTCTTAATAATCCACTCACTGACATAGGCTCTACTGCCTAAGGTTATAATATTATCATTATTGGGAGACATTGACACTAAAGTAGTTTGTAGTTGGTCATTAATCATTATTATTAGATTCTTTAACAATAAGTTCAAATGTTATTTCATTAAATAAAAATTCTTTTAAATTATCCAAAACTCTATTGATCACAGTCATCATCTTCACAGTTTGTACTAATGTAATGACTACTAGATGTAAAATTATTAATGACGAGAGCTTTACAGAGGTTGAGTTAATATTCCTTATTCCATGGCTTCTTATTAAACTAAAAGTTTTACAATAATCGCTTACAAATTAACTGCATTCCTTAGATAGTTATGATCCAGTTTGAAACTAATGGAATCGTTTTGTTGTTTCATACTTCATGCTACTTAGAACTTCGAGCAAGTTTATTCAAAAATTTCAATGAAACGAGTTTAATATAACCTCACTACACAGCTCTTCTCTTTACCTGGACTAGGTTTAATGAAATTTCCATTAGCACTGTCAAAAAGGTTGTTAATATATTGTTGATAATATTGACAAGTATCCTCTGCCCTAGAGTCAATGCCTTTGTATCCTATAACAATTAATAAAAACTGTAAGAAATATATGCAATAAAAATAATATTTCAATTGTTCAAGTAAATTAACAAAAGTTAAAAATATTGTTTCATGTTTGTTAAATTAAAAATAAAGCTTACTAGTGAAGTTAGTCATTATGGCAATTCTTTTCGTGATTGCTCCAACACGCTGACTGAAGACTTGGACTGCAATTGACATTTTTATTTTTTTTATATTTTCTGGATAAACATAATAACCGGAGAGCTTAAGCACAAGATAGCTTCCCTCTGTAAAGTTGTAAAGTACACTAAAGTAGTCTTTTTAAATTCATAAAATTGAACATGTTACATGGAGCATTTCTCTGTTTGTTTCCATATGTGAATTATTTCTTGACCACCAACTTCAAAACCAAATACATCATTTTTTTCCCTTCCTTAACATCAGTAGTATCTTTTATTAACTGGTTAATAACAGCAATATTGGATGGGGCTTGATCACAAACCATAGAAATTATAGTAAGGCCTGTTGATTGCACTGCTTTACTAACATCTTTTAGTATAGTCGATAAATTAGGATTGTTTATGTTACTATTGATCAGATAAAAAGAAACTGGTACTCAACTTTTTTCTGAGTCCTCTCACTATAAAAACAAGTACTATATCCGCAAACTTTGGTAAGCAATTATTGTTATCAATGTCTTAAAAACCAATTACTTTTCCATTATTTTCCGTAAACTGTAATGATGAAGAAATTGAGATCTCATCAAAAATTAATGAACAATAACAATCCAGCTTACTGCAATTTTTAAATGATCAAATATAATTTATTAATTTCTGTATCAAATGGTATATTATTCAATAAATCCATGATTTATTTTTGGGAAAGAAGAGCAAAAACCTTTGAAAGTGTTTTATATACTTTTTCACTTTATCATCTACTGTGAAATGTCTTCTATACGGCTTCTGCAGTTGCATTCGAATTTGATATTCAATAAATTGTCTAGTGAACTGGTTTAGTTCACACGACTGTATATTAGTACCTATTTATAAATTTATCAGCAATTTTTAGTCGAATTCTAGTTTTTGTGTATCACTTGTAGACACCTAAATCTTTTTGTCTATAGATTTTGAAAGCATCATATAGAACATTTTTTCTTGGAGCCAATTGTGATTACACATATTTATCTCTGCCAATACACCTTTAATTTTGTTTTTTTTTCACTTAGTTTAGATAGACACAATGAAATACCTTAATTGTTAAACTAACAATAAAACTTGATTAATAATAAAACAACATTCAACACATTAATAGTTACCTTCATTTCTTGGTCCATCAGACCACATCAGACACACTTAGGTTTGAATGTATTACACCGTCACTTATTCCAACTAAACCAATATCCATAGCATAAGAATCTTCAGTATTTCTAAATGCAGGCATAATTACAACTAAAATAATAATAATGTCCTCTTCAATTACACCTAAATTCAAATTCAAATTCACATTAAATTAATAATGTATAATAATATAAAAAAAAAAACAAGCAAGTATGCATTTTTATAATATCAACAATAAATTTTATTAGTTAAATCCCATGCACTACATTTTTTTTTTTTTTTAATAACTAACTAATGCTTATACAATAGTCACTAAAGGCATAATCTGTCTATGAAAAAAAAACTCATGCTCACTAAGATAAAGCAAAATTTAAACAAAAATATTTAGTATTTATAATATTTATACATAATCATATCATAATACAGTTGATCGTGTTTATATGTAATAAAAATATAATATGAACGTGTGATAAATTTTATGAACTTTCTGATAAGACCAATACTTGATTTCAACCATTTGATTAACACTGATGTCAAATATAAGCTCAATATATAGATATCTCAAGTTATAGGTATAACTACTGGTATACTTCGTTCAGTTACGTACTGATTCTTGATTTTACAATAATAAATAATAGCATTAGAAATGAATCATTAACAATTTCATTGTGAAATGTAATGATATAATTTGATTCTAGTTTTAGACAATGTTAAATGTCAGAAATTAAATCATTCAATTTTCAAAACAAAACCGATGTCTTTTAGTTCTTTCAAAATCAACCTCCTCCAATGGTTTTATGGTGTATTCTTTGAGAACACTGGGTGAGATGAAGCATTATAAAATGCTTTCGATTTACTAAGGCAGTTGCTCGTCGATATCAAATGGTAAGTATTCAGTATTTGCCAGATGATCTAAAAATGATTATGAATATAAGTACTTATAAAACAATTAAAATATATTCAAAATAACTCATTGGGTAACACATGGGATGATCATAATATAAAAATAAAACACAGATACTTTATGCTTGGCTAAAATAATAATCTAAAATATTATGAATCAAAATATGAGCAATGCCAACATACCCCAAAATGTTTGTTTTGAATTGTTTAAATTGAAAAACATTAATTTTATCGAACAACTTGAACGCTTTTCAAACCTTAAATTATAAATTGATGTCAAAAATATCTGCAGTTTCTTCTTGTAAATTTATTTATGGCATTTGGTTGCATTCTAGTTTGGATTGAAATGTGTATTAAATAGATTTTATTTAGTTCTTTATAAATTTATTGTATGATAAAGACTGCCACATTAAAACAATTGATTTAGCCTTAGTTTGTGCACAAGTAATTTTGCATTATAAATTTGTTTTAAAAAAGATGATGTGCAATAAAAATTGGTCAAATAAGTAATTGTGTAAGATGGTATGAAATGGGAATATCCTTCTTGTGTTGCGGTACATCTACTTTGTTAGTGAACCCATTTGGATCATTTAAAAATAAGAAGTACCTTGTATATTTTTAATGCAAGCTAGTAATGCCAATAAATATTTTTGCACATACATGTTATTGGTATGTTTGAACGTCAGTAATATTCTAAAACACCAATTTACAAATGTTCATGAGCATCTTAAAAGAAATTCTATTTTAAATGTTGATTAATCTTTTTGATATTTTGAAAACAAACTATTATAAGTTCAGTTAATTTTAAATTAATCCTTATACAATGTAATGAGCCATTATAAATGATAAAACTTATAGTGGTGGAATTATACTCATTTAAGAATAAGTTGCCGCTTTATTAGGTATAATAACCATAGAGCGTTATTAACGCAACTATACATGTAAACTAGCCAAACCTGGCTCAACCAGAATCTTTTTAAGACATAATAATATTTTCAACCAGATACTAATACTAATAATGAATCAATAAATTTGTGGCTATATTATATGAAGGAAATAATTACATAAAAATTTAATGGATTTTTCACTGTATTGAAATTAATCATTTTAAATACAGTGGATTACAAGACCTTCCTGTGAATGAGTGTTTACTATTTTCAGTGTTCAATAATGAAATATAAATCCGAGTACTATAAATCAAAACTTACTTAATAGTTTATTGTATGTTTACTAAACCTTTACGTCTAGTATTAATATTGACATGGTCATTGACAAATTCAAAGTATGGAAATAAGAAAATTCATTTATAATTATTTAATTAAAATAACATAATTAAGTTCATATGATAAAATAATTATGTATATACAATTTTTGTTTAATAAGCAAATTTTGAATTTTGGGTATTTATTATGTTTTCTTCTTAAAAAGCATTATTGTATTTAAATCATTTTATTTTAGACTCAAAATAAATATCTTGATATTAGCACTTAATGTTGTGTGCATAAACTACACTTATACAACTGTTTCTATTTACATAGTTTTAATTTACAATTAGATATGCAATATGTTAAAAATTAGGGTACTGTCTAAGTATTGGACATTAATTAGTTCCAAGGCCCAATGGAATAAAGTCTGCCATACTATGATAATAATAATAACATTATGTATGTTTAACCATTAATACTATATTGTATTTTATTTTTAAGCCTACGATTTAACGCTTCCAATAACGATGTGATATTAATAGTTTTAAATTTTACCACAACAATTATAATAATTTATTGTAAACAGAAACCTAAAAGTATAGATTTGAATATTCTATCGAGTTTGTGATAAATATCGAAATAAGTAAATAAAATAATTTCATAATGTTTATTAATAATGGGAGAAAACTTGAAAAAGCGGACTTATGGTCACCCTATAATAACATCATAAATATATATTATACGTACCTCATGTTGGCAATCTCATTTTCTCAATGTTCTGAACAGTATATAAAAGAATTGTGCTAAACGAGTTATTGAAAACGTTCTAACACTTGAACGTCTGACGAGTAGGTATAAGCACAGCGAGTTGATACGACGACAAGAGGGTTAAACTGTAACAAGAACTGCACTCTTGCACTCTGACAGCTTCAATACTTCAAAACATCAATCGACATTTGGCGACAATCTTGAAATTTGTTATTATCATTGAACAAAACCGTACTATAAAAATTAAGTTGTAGTTGTAGTCACTTAAATTGTTTTCATTCTTTTAGATATTAGTAAATTACTTAAGTCACTCGATGTCAAATTGTTAAAGGCTGACTGCTGGACGGCGCTGACGCTACCCTAATTAAACCAGGAGACTAATGTCTAACTCTATTCGGCGAGTCTGATGTAAACAAAGACAACACGCGATGTCATACTAACGCAATGCAAGTCGCGTACAGCATATAAATATTTGTGTATTGGTCACTCTGATTTGCCGATCCGGCCGTTATTTTGTTTACATCTTTTGTCGCGTGACGCGTCAATGCGTCATCGACTACCTATCACCTATGTCCTATTGCCATAACCATTTTTCAAAACGTTAAGAATTTGCGATTAACGATTTTGTTTAACTTTGTTTTGTTGTTACTTATTAAATTATTAGTTTTGTTTTGTGAATAATTGTTACTGATTCATTTAACTAACCATGCATCAAATAGTTATGTTGTGATTAGTTGTGACACCAAATAAAGTGACGAAACTGTTCATAGTCATTGTTTATCGGTTTCCAAAAAATAAAACCATTTGATGTTTGAGTGAAGATCTGGAAATAATATAAATAAAATAATCCAATTGATATAGTTTTAAATTATTTGTTATGTGCGATAAACATCGAAGAACTGTAAAAGTTTTGGATTTAAAGTTAATTACTAATTTTCAACACAACTCTTAATTTAAGTGATAAATATATTATTTTAATTTTAATTTTATAATTCAAAACATACAATTTACTTAATATTTGCTTTTTTTTATATGTTTCAGTTATTTATGTTATGTCAGTCTAAACTTTTAT